TAAAGCCATCTCACTCTCTTCTGATGCTCCCTGTATTTCTCTCTCACATGTGCTAGAAAAACCAGCATTTTTCCACAACAATATTTTTCCACAACAATCATAGCTGAGCCTCACATACCTGATTTTTAATCTGCCACATAAAAAGGTTTGCCCTAAGTCCCCACACACATCAGAGTGCTGTATTGTGGCAAGGGAGATGTGTTACATCATGGGGCCCAGTGCACAAGAACCTGCCTAACCTGCCAGCACCTCCCTCGACAGCAGCCACAGCCCGTGGCCCCACTCCTGTCCCCTGCTCCTAAAATAACTTCACCCACACAGAAAGGTCTGACACATGCAGACATCAACATAGCAGTTAGATGAATCACCCTTGGAGCTGCACATATGTTACAGCCATGATTTCCAAAGAGGCATTTTGATATCTTCCAGAGTCACAGCATTTGTTTGGTAAAGCTTTGGTCCCCTGTCCTCCAGTCACAAGCTTGCTCTCACACTGACCCCAGGTACTAATGCTATGCATGAGGGGCTTGAATAGTAATTTAACTTGAAAAGGAGTTAAACCATTGGCTACACTTCCAGTGATGTCAAACTGCTGCTGTGAAAATTTAAGGGGCATCCAGGCTATTTTTTGGATTTCACAACAATTAAAAAAGCAAGTGTGTTTCCTTCTCTCTAAGTAATGATGAGATATCCCACATCCCAGAATGGGCCAGGCTAGAAGGGACCACAGTGACTTATCTGGCCTCACCTCCCTGTTCCAGCAGGGCCATCCCAGAGCACAGGGCACAGGATTGTGTCCAGAGGGGTCTGGAATATCTCCAGTGAGGAGACTCCACACTCCACTCTCTGGACAATCTGTTCAGTGCTTGGTCACAGCACAGAGAAGAAGTCCTCCTGTTCCTCCTGTCCCGGTGGAACTTCCTGGGCATCAATTCCTGACCATTCCCTCTTGTCCTATTGTCCAGCACCACCAAGCAGAGCCTGGTTCCATCCTTTTATCACCCTTCCTTCCTGAAGGAGTCTACTTTCATCATTGGTAATAGTAAGAACGTCTGAATTATTTTGACTGGATGCTCTGTGGAATTTTTGGAATTTTTGCTTTTTATCCCATGCTTTTTATCTCAAAATTTGAAAATTATAACTGATTACAAAGCAATTTCATAAAGGTTCTTAACTTCACATTGAGATTTTCCAGTAAAATGATAAGTGATTATGAAACAATTTTGTACGGGTTCCTAAATTCATATTGAGATTTTCCAGTTGCTCTCTTGACGTTATCACTACTCATGCATCATACATAAATGTCTTATGCCAAATATTTGCAAGGATGTGCCCAAATCACTTCTTAACTTATTCAAATCTCAGTTAAAAAACCAAAAAGGTGTTTTAAAAACAAGGATAATTATGAAGTCTGGCTTTGGGTTTTCACTTCAGTTATAGCAGAAGACCTAATTTCTCGTAAAGTCCCCCAGGGTTTTGTGATTTCTTCATAGCCTTTCTCTCGTGGCAGAAAGCAGACATACTTCCGGCATGAGTTCTTCCAGAATCTATCTGCTATGGATACCAAACACCAAACACATTTCTACCAGCACTGGAAAAAAGGCCAGTGCTTTCCACATAGTGTTATCAGCATAAGTGACCGTGTAAGTCATTTTTGCAGTGACTCATTCCATTTTGCAATGGAATGCCAGTCTTGACTCTCCAGCTTCAAGACCAGCCTCTCCCTCACAGACCCAGATGTGGAAGGAACCACTCACCCATCACCATTCCAAAATATTGCTGTGTTGAAATAAACCAAAGTACCTTAAAATTTGTTTGGAAAGGTGAGACCAGAAGTAAGGCACTTTGTGTTATGTTCCATGGACAAACTCAAGAGTTTAGAATGACCCAGATGACATCAGCATAGGGTCTGCAACTTCCTATTCTTCTTTCCTCTAAAAAGCCATCCCCAACTCCCTAACAGCAGAGAAGTGATGTGTTTGTACGGCCCCACCAGATAGACAGATACAGCCCAGCATCACAGTCACTGCTAAAAAAACAATCACTGAAGCTAAAATGCAAGCAAAACAACCTTTAGGTTTTTTCTCGTGTCTGGCTTGTACAGTCAAAGATGTTATTTCTCTACAAAAAACAAAATGTTGTTATTATATTTCTCCATTAACTGACACTCAAGAAATCTATTAATCCCTGTCCTTTGGTGGGGAAAGCTTTGTACTTTATCTCTCTGCAGTTCCAACCATTTATGCCTGGCTTTTTAAGGGAGCTGAAACCTTTTAAAAGACTTGGAATTGTTTATGCAAAGAAGGCTGAAGGTCTCAAGCCAGCTGACACTAGTCCTTCCACATGTTCTAAAGGTAGTAATATGGGGAAAACAGGTCAAGGAGACAAGAAATTCTGCTGTTCTTACCAGAGAATCCCACCATCCTTTAATACAGTCAGGAGAGAAACCCCTACTCTCCTTTGCCTTCCTATATAAATCAAAGGATCAGGGTCCTTTGGATTGTGCAGTCTGAGAAGAAAATCTTTCCTGGTGAGAAGCAAATGCTTCTCCTCTTCACTATTGGCCAAACAAGACATTTAGTTTCACATTTAAACAAGATAAAATAACTCAGCCTACCTGTAGAGAAAAGCTCTACAGATAGTTAGTGCTGTGTCTTGATTATTAAAAGTGTAATTTTAAAAGGGTTCTGGTAAACGCTGATTTCTTTTTATCAGCAATATCCTGAATTTGCTTTTCTTTGTGCCAGTAGGACAAAATAACACTTTAGCCACACAGGGCAATTTTAAGTGCAGATAATAAATATTTCATGCAAAATGCCTATTATCCCATGCAAATACAAAGTTTCAAAATAATAAATCAGTTTGAAGTACTTCTACAAGGGTCATGAATTTCCATTAGTGATTTCTATTATGCAAAAATTCAGTTGATTACTATCTCATTCCACTAGTCAGAGAAGTTCAGGTGTGGTCAGAGAATTGCATCTATCAGATTGTCACACCCTGGAAGAGTGAAACATAAATGTTCTCTCCAGATCCTTTGTATGCAATGAAAAAAAAAAAAAGTCACAGCATTATTTTCCTTCCATATTCTCAAGAATACTAAAGATGTACAAACGCATTTCACTTCCTCATAACTTAATTTGCCAGGTGAATGGGGAGTGTTTAATTTTTTACAAACTCACTGGAGGTTTTTATTGAGCAGGTCCATTTCTTGCCTCTGATCAAAAGGTTACTGCCCATGAATTTTAATGAGAGTTGCTTTAATGCAGTATCAGCATAAAATGGTTAATAATACTAAGGTGGGAGGGGAGTTATCCAAAGTTCTTCTGTGATCCTTAATTTTCAAAACTTAAGGGAAGCCATAATACTGATGCTGACTAACAGCATAAATTCCTAATGGCAAAGTGACAAAAGAAAACCAACCCAAAAGTCACACAGAAAACCAGTCCAAGCTCAAGACTGAGACATAGGACCTCCCCTTGCTCGGTTTCCAGTTACCACAAGAATGTAGTCACATGCATTTGTTAATTCCATCCTTGCTGGATCTATATTGGTGGCCAGCCTCCACCCCTCTACTTCCCTTTATTTTATAGGAAAGGTATTCTTGTTTTGTAACCTCCTCTGGGAAGCCGCTGCCCAAGCCAGCAGCTCCCCCTCCATATTGCCTATGGAATGTGCTGCATCTTATAATTTATTTTGGGAAGAAAAACTCCAATATGTTTTTATTCGTATTTCAGCATGGCTTGTCTGTTTTTACTGTTCTGCTTGGGTGTGTTTTTGACTCTTGATACCTGATTAATTTCTAATCCCATAGTAGGAAATTAAGGTACAAGCCCTCAATTTTCATCCCTGAGCTAAAAGGCTCAGAAGCTGAGTGCTGAACGCCCTGTTACGATGAAAGGGAAATTCTTAGTTGAAATTTAACATGTTTTTTCTCACAACTGGGGTGACCTAAGGGCATGTGCATAAACAGTTACCATGGATCAGCTGGTGGGCTGAAATTTATCCCACCTTATTTTCCTAAAGTTGATGTTTGTAACTTCCTACAGACATATTTGAAAGATTACAGGAATTAAACTATGCTGTAAGTTTATCTTGTATGAGAAAACAACTATTTAAGCCAGACTGATGTATTCATTTTAAACTAAACATCCAGCAGAGGCAACGAAGGTGATGAGAGTTTTGGAGCATCTCTGTGGGAGCTGGGCCTGATTAATTAGAAGAGCCAGAAAGGGGATCTCATTAACGCATATAAATATCTCAAAGCAGGTGTCAAGAGGATGGTGCTGCAGATGATGATTCTCTTCTGTGGTGCCCAGCTACAGGACAGGGAGCAATGGCCATAAGCCAAAACTAGAAGTTTCACCACAACACAAGGAAGAATTTCTATATGGTAAGGATGGCAGAGCACTGCAACAGGCTGCCCAAGGGAGGTTGTGTGGATTCTACCTCTCTGGAGACATTCCAAACCCACCTGGAAACATTCCTGTGTCACCTGCTCTTGGTGACCCTGCCATGGCAGGTGGGTTGGACTGGATGATCTCCAGTGATTCCTTCCAATCCTAAGGATTCTGAGATCTGTGCAAGAGCAGGTCGGGTTGGGATGAGGGGGTTGATCAGATATTAGGACAAAGTTTTTCACTCAGAGGGTGGTCGGGCACTGAACAGGCTTCCCAGGGAAGCAGTCACAACCCCAACCCTGCCAGAGCTCCAAGAGTGTTTGGGCAACGCTCCAGGCACAGGGTGGGATTGCTGGGGCGGCGCCGTGCAGGGCAGGTAGGAGGATTCTGAAATTCCTCGTGCTGCCCCTCCGTGCCGGGACACTCCAAACCCCAAGGATGGCCGTGCCCGGCCCCGTGAGGCGCTGCTGGAGCGCTGGGAGCCCGCCCGGCCTGGGGCGGAGCAGGGCGGCCGCAGGTGCGGGGCGGGGCCGGGGGCGGCCCCGGGGGCGAAAGGGGGGAGTCCCCGAGCACCCGGGCAGGGCCGCATTTGAGGAGCGGCGTCGGAGCTCGGGAGCCTGGTTACTGTGTCTATAGCCGCCACCATGCCCGTCAAAGGAGGCACCAAGTGCATCAAGTACCTTCTCTTCGGCTTCAACTTCATCTTCTGGGTAAGGCTCCCTGGGCTGTGTCCCCCGCGCTGCCCGGCGGGGAGCCCGCGGGACGGGGATGGAGGGGAGGGGAGGGGAAGCGCTGGGAGCCGCATTTTGTTAGCTTTTCTGATGCCTGGTTTTGGCTGTTTTCTCCACTAGCTGCCCCTCCCCCCCACCCCCCCAGAAGGAGAGAGGCGTGTGCCCGGGCGCTCACCGCTTTATTTTTCACGTTTTTGGGGTTTATCGTCAGGCGGGCAGGGGGTGTTGGGTTTGTGGATAGCCCGCCCCCACTGAGCATCCCCCAGCACTTCACACAATCCTCGCCCTAAAACTCTGCGTAGGTCGGGTTCCCTGCTGGCTTTCCCGGTGCTGGGGCTGTGCCCGGGGTGAGCCGGTTCCTTGCAAGCCTGTGGTTGTCGTGTGTGTGAACTCCTCGTGTTGGTGGGAGCTGTGGCTTCCCTTCGGGTTTAATCTGTCGGAGCAGACCGGCACCCCTTGAGATCACGTCTCCGGTGTGCTCACTGGCCCTACTACGCCTTGTTGGATAGGCGCCATGAGAAAGTATGGCTGAGCCGAGAGGTTTGGGCTGTCCTCCAGCACTCGGGGCGTGGGCACCTGGATTTAGCGCTGGCTCATGCATAGAAAAGTACTATGGGAGCTGTTTGTGTGCCTGATGGATAGGAGCAAAGTGTATGGTTCAAAAAGCTGGGTTTTCTCTGGGCTGTTTGCCACGGTGGAGGAGTGCGTGTGTGACTGTGATGTGGCGGTATGAAGTTGGAGTGGCGGGAAGGAGCCGCGTCTGGAGTTAGTCGCAGCGCTGCCCGTGGGACAGTGGAAGTTGCCATGTTAATGGGTAAAGTGCTCGGGATGTCTCGATGTCGAAATGGGTTGCAGCAGAGTTGAGAATACACAGCTGGGTTCTAGTTGAGGAACGTTGTGCAGAACTTGACCCAGGAAAGCTATGTTGCCACTCGGGACTCGCCGGACCGTGAGCAGGGCTGTCGCATTTGCAGGATTAGAGCTGATCAAAAGGAAAAGCCTAATAAAGCACTGCCTGAAAGTTATAGTGAGAGAGTTTCTAAACTTCTTGTTAAAAGAGACTGAAGTACTCATGGTTTGCCTTGTGCTTGTTTTGTTTGTTTATTTCAAAGCTACAGACTTTCTGCAGAGTATTTTATGGGACAAAAATTCTTGTGACAACAGCATTGCCTCAAAGAAGCTCCTAACCTGAGCTTCACCACCTTGTTGTCTGCAGATAGGCTAAGAATAGGGAGAGGAGTTTTGTTTAGCTGGGGATGTACCTGTTGCTTGGGAGTGTCATGGTTATAAAGTGCTGAGGCTCCTACCTTTAGGGGTGCTCATGAGTACAGAATTGTACTGATGACAGAGTGGATGGAAGAGTGGTGCTGCTGTCCAGAGGAGATGAGAGATGATGGCTTTTCAAGTTGGCTTCTTGAGGCTGGCAGTATCAAGCTAGGATGTGGGAAAGAGAAGAGGAAGAAAAAAGAATTAAAGGGAGACAAATATATGCATTTTGGAGATCCCAGTAAGTGCCTGGAGGCCCCAAGAGGCAGTGAAATGCAAGCAGCTTGGCTCAGCCAGAGATAAATGTGTTTGACCAGCTGGAGTGGTCCTTGGCTCAGGCGGGCCACCACATGTCATTGTGGCCTGCTGAAAACAGTTGGAGGGGCGTTTAGGGGGTACAGTGTTAGCAAACCTTGTGTCATCTATGGAGAAATAAAGTAGCTGGGTCTTGGGTTATTCCACACTGAACAGCATAAAAAGAAAAGTGTTCTGGGTCTGCCAGCATTAAAAGGCAAGAACCACCCTAATAAGAAAACAGGTTCGAATGGTTTTTTTATGGCTTTGCCGATGTGAAAAGTCTGTGAAGTAATGGAAGTATGTTGACAAAATTTGCTGTGTCCAAGTGCAATTCTGTACCTCCTTTTTTTTTGAAATAAGTTGCCTCAAAAATATAGGTCAGGAATTTCAGGTCTGCACCAAACCTGCAGATGGCTGTGGATGCCGCATTAGGTGGAATGTATTTGCTTCCATCAAGGCTGGAACAAGGGTAAGAGGAAGCAAAAGGCTCATACAGCTTGGTAAAGGAAGTTACTGAAATAAAAAGAGAAACCCTCAAAGTTGAAGCTGTATCCAAAGGAAGGAAATAAAAGTTCATAAATGCTGGTGAGCCTAATAAAATAACAGTAACATTAGCCAAAGGAAAGCTTTAGGAGTTATTTGCAAAAGCAAACCTAAGTAACATACCCCTCTTCAGACACATGATGAAAAGGGAGTTTCTCAGGGAGTCCTTCCAAGCAGTAATAACTCCAGGTATAAAAGTTTTGGGAGCCAAGTTCGGCAGGACTTTTTTTACTGGGGAAGCCTTTGACATAACCTGTCTTTGACTCTGAATTCTGCACAGGCTTGAACTGACCTCTTGATGCAAAGGAGGTGGAACAAGAGGAGCAGCAAATGTTTGATTAACAATTCCCGAAAGTCACAAAACACTTCAGAACTCTTAAGTGAGTTGTGATTAGGTAACTCCCCTCACCATCCCTTCTCTGTGCTGGAGGGCTGGAATGCAGTGAATTGGAGGCTGGGCTTTTGCTTTATGGTAGTCTGGGATACCCAGAGAGTAGCACATATGGAGTATCTGGAAAGAGCCAAGGAGAAGATTCTTTAAAAGCTGGTGTACATGTATAGGAGGGACATTGGCTACTGCACGGGGAAGTCAGACTTCATGAAGCTGCTGCCTTGGAGCCTTTAAAAGCCTGAATGCTGGAGAAGGCAAGGACTGGTTGGTGTTGGTTCACTTGTTCAATGTCATCTGGAAATCTCAGGCCTCTTGTGAAAACCAGGCAGTCCTGGAGTAAGATCCTGGCAAGAATGAGATGGCTGTTGGAGTGGAGGCAGGGCTGTGGTGAGATGCAGCTCTGCTGTTGCAGAGAGAAGTAGTGCTGGTACAAACTCTGTGATGGTCAGTATAGCCCCACCTCATCTGGAGGAGCACAGGGGGTGCTGGCTGGCATCCATTGTACAGGGTGATGGAGGTGATGGCTGCCTGCTGACACAGCAGGGTGTTTGACACAGCACGCTGAGACTCTCTCCAAAGTCAGGCATCAGGTAATTCCCATGGGAGGCACCAGCAGAAAGCTGCCTGGAGATAGGAATTAAATGATTCAGGGGCAGCTGCTGCCATGGAGCAGTGAAGCCTTGGGAGAAAAGAATCTATAATGGCTTTACAAAAGCACCAGGTGAGTGCTCAGTGTCAACAGAGGGAAACCAGCTTCAGAAATGAAGGACTGAGAGAAAATGGAATATGGTGTGTAAAACTCACAAAATCTATGGCATCCTGGTGTCCCACAGTGCTGCAGGCTGCTCTAGTCATCTGCCTGTCTTGAGAGGATCATAGTGGAACTTGGTAATGTTTGGGAAAGAAAGAGGAGGGTTTCTGTCATCAGCAACTCTTATCTTCAGCATGGAAATGTGCTAGAGATCCTTAGAATCATGATTGTCCAGGCAGTAGGTAGGGCTTGACTGTATTGAAAGAGGCAGTGAGCAAGAGCTGTGGAATATTTAGCCAGGAAAGAGGACCTTTTCAGAAGAAAAGTGGGTACAGTGGTGATACCTTCTCCTTAGCAGATGATGACAAATAGGTTGGTCAAGGGATAACTGGCTAATCACAGAATGAATTAGGTTAGAAAACACCTTTAAGATAATCTAGTCCAACCTGCTAACGTGGAGTTCAGCAGCCGTTTGTTAATTTTTCTTCTCTCAAGGTGCTGTGTCTTGGCATAAGTGCTCGACATGTAGCCCAGGAGGTTGGTCCTGGGAAATGCTACCTTCTGTCCTGTTCTCTTAACCCTTCCTGAGGATCTTGTGTTTGATTAATCTGATGGCCTTTCTCCAGCCAGGAAGGCTGGATACTAACGTGGTATTATCTGAAACGTTTGGGGCTTCAGAGTTTGGCTTAAAACATGCTTGTGGCCCTAATGGAAGGAAGGGGACACTTTTGGATGTTTGCACCAAGTCCAGTTAAGCATGGATCTGTAAGTTTTGGGGTTCATTCCCCTCTCTGAGGTGTAGGAAGTAGGGATGGCTGTGTTTTCTCTTGGGATGGAGTACTGCAGCAGGCACCAGGCTCCTTGCTGCTATTGCGCTGTTCTTTCTGGGGCTGATGTTCTCCCACATAGGTTTGCAGATGGCTCTGCTGTCTTGGCATGGCTAGTGCTGGCCCTGGCATCCCTGACAGTCTGCCTTCTAATAATACAAGTTTTGGGGCTGTTTGAGGGTGTGGGAGGGAGGTGTCAACAAAATTTTGAACTAATTTTTTTTTTCCACCGGGCTGGCTTGAGCTTGGCAAGAAGTCAATGGACACAACACATTTTGTTCCTTAAACCTGAGCAGTGGAGGTGTCTTAGCAGAGTTGGACCAACCTTAGTGTGAGCAATGCTGGATTGCCTTGAGTTGTGTAATGAGTGACTGCCTTTAGCTGTGCTCCTTTAGCTCCCTGGGTTTGCTCAGGCTTGTTGGTCCTGGTCATGAAGTCTTTTCCTAGGCAAACTGTGGGCTTCTGAGCAACTTGGATCACACAGGCAAGTGCCTGCCTGTTCTCCCACTGGCTTCCTGCTGCTGAACAAAAGCAAGGCCTTGCGTTAAATTTCAATGCTGGGTTTTCTCCTTGTAGATTTTGTGGAATCTGCTGCTAATATTTATGGTTTCATGTATTTTAGGCAAGCAAGTGTTGTAGCACAGAGGCAGAGTTCATGTTGAAGTTTTGAGCAGTCATTTTCTTGCTCCTTTCCAATATTGGGCAGTTCTCTTGTCCTGACTTTCCACTCTCCGGAGTGCCGTGTTTTATGAATAAATGCATTTTTGTGTGATAGTAGCTGCTAAAGTAAGATGAGCAGAATTAGGCCTGGAGTGCCCTTTTCCTTCTGTAGCTTCTGTGACTTTGTTCTGAGCCATAATCTCAGCTGCTTTTGTGCACCAAGAACAGCAATTCAGAGGGTCTT